TGTCTTATCTATTAATATGCCTGTGCACTAAAACTTCCTGTTTTTCAGTCTGGCTGAGCACTTAGTTTGTGAGTCAAAAGTGGCCTTGCTCTACAAGCCTTCATTATTAAAGTACATAAAACAATATAATAAGAAAATGAGGATACTAATGATATTAATTACATGACACAGCAACAGGGTTGGGTGGGGGGTGAGGAGTAATCCGAAGCAAACACAGCAGCCATCCTGCCCAGCGCTACCATTCCAGCGCGGGCTCAGACCCGCCGTGTTCCCAGGAGGGAACAAGCATCGAAGGCGTTTGGAAAGGGAGGGGGGATGAATGTGTGCATATTAGTGTATATGTATGTGTGTGCATGTCCAGAATTCAGCTGAGACAGTGTCCTTCGCCCTGCTAGGCTAAGTAAACAGTCTTTTAGCCAACCCAGGTGGCCTTGCATGGAATGGGAAGGAACAGACTAAACACAGTCGTTATCAGGGTGTTTTTGTTCGACTCCAGCCTTGCAACCACAACTGGCGCCAAAAGGGTATCCGCATGAAGTGATGGTGCTTTTTACTTTAGTGCGAACAGCTCATATGAATTTCAAAACAGTTCTAACAGTCCAACACTGGTCTCTCAATCTCCCGTTGGAGAGCCGCGAGCTTCGCCATGATGTTATCAAACTTATGCTCTGTGATGTTGTCATTCTTGTGCTCAAAGAGCCAATTCTGAGAACTCACGACAGTGTGCCTCCCCAAGATGTCATCCAATTTGCGCTCAGAGATGTTATTCCGAGCGAGCCCTTCCAAGATGTAATCCAGTCTGCACTCAGAGATCTTATTCTGAGTATTCTGAGTATGGCAGCCGTAAGCCTCTCCAAGATCTTATCTGTGCTACACTCAATGAGCCCATTTTGAGAAACTCACGCCTCTTCCCATCGTTTCAATCCCAGCGGGCAGCCTTGTGGGGGTTTGAACAGCCGGTTCCGCTTCCTTAATTCTTCGATAAGTCAGGGCCAAGCCAGCTCCGATCAGCCAGAACCCTGTTATCATGGTTCCGAACAGGTAGATATCTTCAGCACTCACCCAAGCTTGAGAAAGGGGTGTCAATTGCATTTAGGGACCAGTTGATCAAATCCATAATTCCTCTTTTAGGTTTTAGAGAACAGACTGTGAGAGAGTGTTCCAGGGAAAAGTAATACAAAAAAAACACGAGACTAGACAAGGACATAAGAGGCTAAGCAGGGAAGCTAAGGGAGAGGAGGAGAGGAGAAAAGTGCGTCCGCCTTCGTCAAGAGCAAGAGCAGGAAAAAAAACCCCAGATGAACATAATGTTAAAAGAATGAGTAGTACTATGCAAAAGTCGAGAAAAAGGAGTCTAAAGCAGGGAGGAGGAAGACGGCCAGCCATACACACCGGCGCCATCTTTTGAGAGCTTACCTCTGTACTTTGGTTTCCTTCTCCCTTGAGATGTCATAAGCCAGATTTTCCACTGACGTGACATACCTTCATTGGTGAAAACTGGTGAGCTCCTGGATTTCAGCAATTTGAGTCCCAACAAAGACCTTGTAATGGCAAGACTGAAACTGTAACCAAGTCAGCACCATAGTAGAGTCCGTCCACAAGATGGTGTTCTGCAGTGGTAGAGTAAGCTTGGTTTGGGGAGTCTTAGCAAGCTGCGCTCCAGTGAGAGCACCACTGAGCTCCAGATGGGGCATGGGCAATCTCTTCCAAGGAGCGACTCGAGATCTCACCATCAGAAATGAAGTGCTGACATTTCTGTGGCAATCTGTGGTCCTTAGATAAGCTACAGATACATATGCTTTCTCTGAGGCATCACAGAACAGGTGCAGCTCAAAGGTGAAACTTTGAGAGTCTGTATCAGGGGGGATATAGCATCTTGGTAAGGTAATGTTCTGCAGGAAAGGTAGCCCCTTCTCCCATTCTAACGAGGTGAGAAGAAGGACACCGGTGACAGGTTCATCCCAACCCTATCTCCTTTTGCCACATAGACTGTACAAGAATCTTCCCTCTCGTGGTATAGGAAATGATAAACCCTAGAGAGTCATATTGGCTAGCAAGCACCTTGTACACATTGCGGAGAGTTGGTGCCATGCAAGAGACTGGGCAATGCTTCTACCCCAAGGTATTAGTAGGGCAATGCCAACGTAACCCAAACATCAACTCTTGTGGATCAGCTTGGTTAAAAGTCAGCCAGAGCTCACAACTGTCAGACCCGGTGGTACTAGGCAGGTGGGACACCACCTCCGGCACATTACTGGCCCACTGCTATATCTCAAATCCTCCAGTAGCCAGTAGTTGTCTCATTTTGTCCAGGAGTTGTTTAGCTTTTTTGTAGAGCTCTGGTGTCTGTGTAATGAAAGACGAGTGTAAGCATGCCTCTCCATCAGCTGGATGTGGTAGACTTTTGACAGGTCCCTGCAGCACCCACACCCACAACTCAGTACAGACTTCTACAGGCCCTCCAGGTGGTCGATGGATCACTGGGCAAACAGGAGTAACAGGATGTGATCCAATCAGGATAATAGGTTTTGTCACGGTCCTGGGTCGGTGACCATGTGTTTTTGGTTTTGTAATTTTACTTTTGATTTTATTATGAATTATGACTGTTTGTGTTTTGGTTTCCCAGTGTTTATTCTTTGCTCCCTCTGTTTTGTGTCATCCCTGCCTGTATATCCCATCTAGTGTAGTCAGGTCTCTGTGTTAAGCCCGCGTCTCTGAGTCTGTCTTTGCTTGTGTGTGTTTTCCTGTTTTAGGTCCGTGTCTGATGTCAGTGTGTTCAGTTTTCGTTTCCTCTGTCCCGTCATGTCTAATTACTCCCAGCTGTGCCCTCCTTCTGTGTCTCATTCCCTCGTTATCCTTCTGTGCATTTAAACCTTGTGTCTGCCTCCGTTAGTTGCTGGTTCGTCTGCGTTATATGGTGTTTTGTTCTCTGGTCTGAGTCATCTCTGTTCCGGTTTCGGGTTAGTTTTGTTATTGTTAGTTTTCCCAGTTTAGGTTTGTCAGTTCTGTTCTTGCCACCCTCACCCTTTTTTTTTTTTGTTGTTTGTCATCCTTTTCAATAAAGCTCACTCTCATCAGAAACAGTGCTTGCATTTTGGGTCCTTTAATAATTTACAAACGGCTTGCCCCGCTGGCCTTGACAGTATGAACCAGCCATCCATGGACCAAGGAGCATTCGACCCGCCCGAGGAGCTCCGTGAGGATATTGTGTACTCTGTGGACAAATTGATTAATTTGTGGCTGGAGCATGAGGAGAAAGAATTTCGACAAGCTGTGGCTAACCGGCTACAGCGATTGGTTTCCGGTCTCCCCTGGCTTTTCAGCTCTCTTCACCCGCACAAAATGTCATTCTGAACGAGCTTAGCCTTCACCCCCCAGCTGCTACCACCCACCCAGCAACTGATGCTTTGCTGCCTGGCCCAACGGAGGCTGTTCTGCCCAGCCTTTGAAAGGGAAACGGCGCTCACGCCGTCAACGCCCCTCACCACAGTCGGACCTCGGGATATCAGAGCGGCCGACTGTGGTGAATAAAAAGGACAATATTACTGGTTTGAACTTTGAGAATTTTTCTTCTGAGGTTGTTCAGGGTGTGTCGATGAGAGCTAATACGCGTAGCTTACCTAGCTTTGTCGTAACTGGCCTCTCCCAGGTTGGTATTTTTAAGACTTCTGACAAAACAAAGGGCTGTGTTTCTTCTGCTTCTTCTGAGCCTGGATTAACTCTCTCTGAGCCTGTTAACCCCGTATCAGCTATCCCAGAGTCTGCTAAAGCTGTGGCTTTCACCCTAGAGACAATTAATCCCAGCTCTGATGATACTAGGACTGCTTTATTTTCCAAGCTGGCAACAGAAAGACTGGACATTTGTGCAGCAGATTTGTTAGAATTAGCTAAAAATGTATGTTTATAAGCCGCATCACACCCAGAAAGAGCTGCTGTACACATACCAGGCTGTCCAGGCAGGTGTAGGTAGTAGAACAGGGTAGCAGGAAGAAAGCCATGTCTGCAGATCTCAGTAGGACATCAAAATAGGTCATGTTCACATCAGAGACATCCGCATAATTTTTTTGACTTCTCTGCTGCTGGAGTGGGTCAGTCCAGTCCAGCTACGGCTGTAGAGGAGCGCTCTGTGTGGGGGATGTGATGGATGAAGACGATACATTATGTATCAGAGATGCTGAGACAAACACAGGAGTTGGGTGAGGGCTTTTTAAAAAATCTCAACTGATTGTCATTTACAACGCTACATCATAAATAAGATAAATATTTCTTCACAATATAAATATTTTATAATAATTAATAAATTATTTATTTTATGCTGTGCATTTGATTTGACAAGCAGTGCCCCCTAAATATTGAAGAACACTATTGCTATCTCCTTTTCTCCTAACTCTTGTGCTAAATATAAAACTTACAGCTTATTCACAGACCTAAATAAGTGCTTTTAAAAAGAAAATCATTATATATTCAGACATTATTGTAAAACATTGCTGTATTCAGACACATATAGATGGGTCCACACCTGTGTTATGCTTTTCTACATCCAGAAATGTGTTTGAGATGTAGTGACCAAAATCAAGATACAGTGATAAAATTCATGGTTACAACATGCAACCATATTTTAGCAAACTCATAACTTAATGGAGATGCAAACAAGCTGACTTGTCAGACTACTTCATTAGATAATCTGACTCACCGTTGTAAATTATGTATAGTTTGAGACAGTAGTGTTTTTGTGCCATAATAATTTAACTACACAAAGCACATTGTATTGCATTTGTTTTCTGCAGTAAAAGCCAATATGGGGCAATGAGCTGGATAGCTTGGTTGTGCAACATGTATCTAACATCAGTTGTTTTATCAAGTCAGCTTTGTCTGAAGCATCCCTCATGTGTCATGTCTTTTTTTTTACTTTTAAAAGTTAATACAAAATAATGAGAAGATGAGCACAGGATCCTCAGTGGGAGAACCCTGCACAAAATAAGAACAATTACTCGTAAGGCATGTCACAGTAAATCTTTATTTCAGGCAACACTCAGTGCTCAGATTGGCATCCCCTTTTATCCATTTGTTTATTTTTTATTTCATGTGACATTAAAAGGATCTCACATTTGACAGCTGGTGTCAGTGGCATTTTAACATTGACTATCCTCCTACCCCACCCAGGAAGACACTTAAAGCTGTTGAAACACTGGGACAGGACAACACAACACATGCACAGTGATCGACATCAGGTTAAAAGTTAGTGTCACTCAATCAGAGTGGGATATGGTGCCATAAAAGTGAAAATGTGTCTAACCTTCATGTGACATGATGAGTGGTATGACTCAAATTCTTCAAATCAACACCAGTTTCACCCCAAAAGCAGAATATGAGTGAAATGATCTTCACTGGATAAAACTGAAAAGATCGATGCGCTCTAATTTCTACAAAATGTGCCACATGCTAAATAACACAAGCCAGAGAGGTGTTTCATAGATAAAAATTTGGTTTTAAAAAAGCAGGCCTTATGGCTTTTTTTATCATGACCCATTGTGTGTCTTGAAAATTTACAAACCCAAATGCAGAAGACAGGAAAAACATTAAGCTTCTAAGCCCAGGAATGAAACAGTCCATAAATCTTGGGATCTGTAAGGCACTAAGCCAGGATATCCAAACATCCAGGAACACTAGGAAGACACAGCTATATACACAATGCAACAGAGGACAAGGGGAGAGTGACACAATATGAAGATAATGAGGGGAGAAGAAACAGGTGGGGAATGCAGTAGGAAAAGGAACAACGAGACAAAGCACGTAAAACTACAAAGCAACAGAGAGAAAATGCTATCAAAATAGAAAAGCAAGTAACTAACAGAGAGAAAGAAGACTTGACAAAAAAATATAATGGAAGACTAAAATAAACTGAAACACACTGAAACAGTAAAAGTGCAAGTGCAAACTAAAAAATTAAACCAAGTATACACAAAGGACACAAAATGTTGTCACTGTCAACTTGGCACTCTGCCCTCTCTTACAAATAGTTATTTTCGCTCCAAAAAACAAAGATGGCTGCTGCACCAAAACTAACCTTGAGGCTTCAAGTCCACCTTTTATATGCAGTCTAAATTCTAAAAAACACACCTCTCACCACTCGGTAATGAGTCAAGGAAACACAGGCTATTACATATATTGTCATTTCTGTCCCTTGATAGACAAAAATGACAGTTATTACAAATTCTAACCAAGGCTGTAAATCATCTGGACTCTAGCTCATATTTAATATGGACATTGGGTTAAAACTATCTTTTCAACTCTTACTCAGAAAGAAATCAGCTGTACTTCTGGAGAACACTCATGTAACCCCACCTGGTTGTCTCAGGTACTGCTACTCATAGTTTGTGTTTTTTCATTTATTTAATTCATGGTGTGTATGCTCTCTCTCTCTCTCTTTTCTTTCCCCATTGCAGTGTCCAAATTGTTCATTCTTTTCCTTTCCCCCTCACTCCAAATCGGTCATGCAGATGACTAGTGCCCCACTCTGAATCTAGTTTCACCAAGTGTCACCAAGTGGACTTCCTGATTTTTGGAATGTTCTCGGTCATATTGTAGAATCATACCTCTTAATAAGGTATTTACACAGCACCAGTGGTGAATTAGGGGTTAAAACTTATTTTGCCAGAACTGGGCTGTTCTGGAGGGTTATTTTATCTGTTCTGTGAAACTCAAACGGAACCTGAATTACTGAAGAAGGTTTTGCTCAACTGCCAACACTACTTTATGAAACACCTCACTGGGGAATCATATAGAAAGAAGTCTGTGTTCTGCTTTAAAGGATTGCTGATGATCTTTTAAAACCTGAGTTGATATGGTGCTACAAACTATGTAATCACTCTTTGAGAAGGTGTTGTGTGTAGTTTATCATCACAGTGAAAATTGGCACATAATTCTGGCACAAAGTTTGTGCTTTGTAGCACATTGTACTTTTTGGAATCATTATCTCACAATGTGAGGGTCACACATTAGTGCAATACTTGTCAGGCCAGAGTCTGTTTGACTCTGTTTGGCAGTATAAATAAAGCGTCTCAATAAAAAACCCATAGACTTTATAAATGAATCTTCACCAAGATATTCACTAAACTCATTCTGCAAGGGTGGTCCTATAAACAGATGTAGCAAAAACACACTAAATTTCTATGTACCTAATCATGCACTGTTGCACACATGAAAACACACATGCTCACTCTGATTCCATGGGTTTCCACGTGTAAATATCTTGTAAATGCAATAAGAAATATAACATTAACAAATATATAACTTTAAAAAATTGTCCAGTGATCCAAGTATTTAAAGGTGCAATCACTGACCATCTACTGCCTTTTTGCATAATACTGTATATTGCACTTTGTTTGAAGATGTGGATGATAGCCTCTCCAAATTCCAGAGTGATTTGCCTGTAAAGGATTTAGAATGGTAAGAATCTTAAAGAGCTTCTTTAATTTGGTTTTATAATAACATTTGCCCCCACAAACACTGAGGGCTTTGGCTTTCCTTATGAACTCCCCACACTGGGACTGTATTAGGCAAGCCAAGGGAAACAGCATGTTTTTTCGACTGTGGGAGAAACGCCATGCAGAATGCATGGAGATCCAGGGATTGTAACCCAGAATCTAACCCAGAATCTGTCTAACATTCACGCACACACTCGCACAGATGTATAGGGGACAACTTGAAGTTCCTTATTTTGCCTATTTCAACATGCAGACAGGAGGAGCTGACGATTAAGGTACTGACCTTCTGATTGGTAGATGACCTACCCTACCTCGTGAGCCACAGCTGCTGAAGGATGTTTATAATATAAGGAATAATTTTTCTGATGGAAATTGCTGAGGACTGCGTGTGGTCCTATAGGTTAAGACTTGGGTGAATCCCAGGATTTATAAAACTGCAAACCATATTCCATCCTGCAAACCTGAAATCTGTGCGTAAGAGCTGACCTGTATTAGAAGAACACTGATTAGAAGAACATTAGACAGTCTCAACAAAGTCTCAGTAACAGCTGTACTTAAAAAAAAACAACTTCTGTCTGGTATTGGATATATGAATCCAAAATATCCTAATAGAAAAGTGAAAAAAGGGTTTTGTGCAAGCGCACTGCTGAGAAAAGACATTTCATTTCAGGGAAGTTATACTCTATTCCAAAGGAATGAACACTCACAGACACATTATTATTATTATTATTATTTCACCACATCAGTAGTGAAATACTATGTGCTGTTTTTTTAGGATGAAATTAATTGAATTCTGCAAGTCAACCTTAATTCAAATAAATATTTTCTCACAACACTTTGCACTCTGAAAAACAAGCTCCTTCTAATACAATATGCACTAATATCTTTGTCCATGCAAACCTGCACATCTTTAGACCCCAGTCACACACCACTAGTGAATGATTGGAAGCTGCCTTTCATCCCTTGGTTGTGAGACAAAATTTCCCAGTAGAGGTTATTCGCAGTCGTGTATTGCCCGACCACTTGGCAAATGCGGGAACTAACTTGCTCTCACAAGCTAAAATTGGTCACAAAGAGGTATACAGTGCTGCACAAAAAAGCCTCCTTGCAAATGTTTTATTCAGTAACAGATTGCCACAGTCGCCAAACAGCCAGACCTGTCTGACAACACTTGCTAAGTACTTGATATAAGTGGTAGTAAAACTGTGAAAAGTGCAACACACGTTGGAAATGGAGACAATTCACCTCTGATGCATGCAAACTACAGGCGACCACAGCAATCTGGTAGCAACCAAAGCAATCACAAGGAAAATATTAAAAAAATCTGTATTGTAAGACACAACAATATAAAGTGACTTAAGCCAGCTGTTGTTGTGAATTGGCACTGTATAAATAAAGTTGAACTGTTCAAGAGCAATAGGAGGATTAGAGGCGCCTGGGAAGGGCAGGGCATACACGATAACAAGATAACAAGATAACAAGATTGTTGAATTCTCAAACAGTAAAGTTACTGAGCGATGTACACCTTCCAGAGTTTGTTTTTTAAGAAAAGTAAGTTTTTATGCTCTGAAACATTTCACAGTATCTGTTGAGTGGTAAGAATTCTAAGGATTTTCACTTTTTAAATTTTTGCTTGTATCAGTTCTCTTAATCAATATCTGTGGTAAATGAACTTATCCAATAAATCGTACTATCACCGCTGTCTTGTATCAAAGTTTGGGTCTGTTTCATTCAAAAAATAACCCTTCAGTTCTTTTTTGATCACGTCTAGTCGATGCATGACTTTCACTGGCCTTTCTGAGTTTTTCTTGCCTGTCTGCATATCCTTGGACTATAGGAGGAATGTGAACTTCTTTCAGTAACACTGATATGTTTTCAGGCTGCTCCTTAGGATCAATATATAATACTGATTGCAATTTAAATTTCATGGAGCAGAAAAAATATTTAACATTAACTGATCATTTTGTGTGTGTGTGTGTGTGTGTGTGTGTGTGTGTGTGTGTGTGTGTGTGTGTGTGTGTTTATTCAGATCTGATTTTTGAAACAATAAAATGTTAACTTTGACATAAGGAGATCTGAAATGTTACTGGGATGTAAAAGCTCAACCTGTGGTCTTAGGGCCTGGAAGGCAAAGGGACCCAAACAAAAAGTCATTTGCTGGAAGGTTTGACTGCTCCAAGGATTTCAAGACTATACGGTGGTTTCATTCTTCCAGGGGCCTGTCCGTATGTTTCCTGTGGCATCTGAACCAAACAGGCTATCTTCCTGCAGACTCCTGTTTCGACCAATGGGTCCCCGTCGGTTCACAGTGCCATGCTGCCGAGGTAGGGTGTTCCTTGGGAAACCTTTCTGTTCCAGCTCTAGACAGATCTTTTCTTTGTCTGCCGTCTTTGACATCCAGCTCAAATTGTCAGGGTCTGGTTCATACTGCAAGATGACGGGATCAGCTCTCTCACAACAGTTTGTGCTGGAAGAGTCATCGACTGAGCAGTACATGTGCCACTGGCTGGTGTCGACCCCATGAGAAGGCATAAGAAGGCTGTGGCAGGAAGAGATACTGTCATGCATGTTGTGGGCATGACTGTGACAGGAAGCAACTGAGTCTTGCACGCTGTGGCAGGAGGTCTGGCGTTCCAAGCTGTGACAGGACACTACAAGTTGGCTATCTAAATGAGGGCTGATGTACGGAAGCTGGAGATCTGGGTGTGGACTATTAGAAACCAGTGGTGAGGCTTCAATGTGGTGCACATTATGAGGACTGTCCAGGTGAGTACTGTGCACACTCCCATCCATACTGGTGGAAGTGATATGAGACCGGTAATCCTGGAAGCATTGGCGTGGACGGTTGAAAGAGCGTGTCTTTGTCCTATCAGCAATGCAACTCTGCAGGGGAAGAGCTGGATGAGGGAGCTCATCAGGAAGTGACTGTGGACGTGGTGAAGGCATTTGGTCAGCACGAGGTGAGATGGGGGAAGGGCTAACAGGAGTCATTACAGCCACACAGCATGGACCTGTGTGATTTAATGTTGGGCTTTGGGGAGGCGGTGTTGTTCTGTGGTGAGAACTCTGAATAGGGTAAGGAGAAAGCATCTGCTGCTTCACTGAGAGTGGGGAATTCAAATGGCAGTGTGGCTGATGGACTTCCTGCCTCTGGCTCTGTCCTTCTCCAGGCCCATCCTCTGTCTTTGATCTGGATGGGCAACAAGCCCACCAACGGTGCCACACGTCATCACGCTTAGCACAGTGCTGGATGAGAAGGAAGAGTCCCAGAGTGACACAAAAAGCACCATAGAGACAACTGAATATCATGTCCAGGAAATGTCCCAGTGAAACAGCCAATGCTCCCAAAGTCCAGGTAGCCAGGAACAGGAAGAGGGTGAAGACTGTGGCCCGGAGTTGAGATTTAAAAGAGTGCTCATTGGCCAGAACTGACACGCCAGCAGCAAAGGGCTGGCAGTCCCCAGCAGACCCAGTGTCAGTGTGGCAGTGATGGTGCGACTCATTTGATGACAGCTGTTGCTGCTCTTCACTTAATACCCGCAGCTCATACTTCCTTTCTGGGTGGCGCTTCAGCTGGACGTAAGTCCACAAGAAGTACACACACATGACTAAGACCAGAAGACTCATGGGAGCATAGAAACCACCCAGACTTGGTTCCCATGCCATCCAGCAACTAAAAAAATGAAAAAAGAAAGTTGTTTTTTTTTAATGTTCTATATTTAACAACAAATAATAATCTGAGTATACTTACTACAGTGCATCATCTCTGCTGCCATAGTTATCCATACCAAATGCTGCTGTAACTCCAACTATTATGATAGGGATTCCATCACTTACAAGATAAAATCTGAAAAAAAATTTCACCATGAAGAATTAGAGCTTGTTTTAACATATGGCATAGAAACTGAACATTTCTCACTCACTATGTGTTAACAGACCTCTCTGCATTAAATCACACTTGTTATTAATCTCTGTCTCTCTTCCACAGCATGTCTTTATCCTGTCTTCCTTCTCTCTCCCCAGCAGCAGATGGCCCCGCCCCTCCCTGAGCCTGGTTCTGCCGGAGGTTTCTTCCTGTTAAAAGGGAGTTTTTCCTTCCCACTGTCGCCAAAGTGCTTGCTCATAGGGGGTCATATGATTGTTGGGTTTTTCTCTGTTATTATTGTAGGATCACTACAATATGCGCTTGAGGCACTGTTGTTGTGATTTGGCTATATAAATAATTTATAAGTTTAAGTGGTGTTGTGTGTGTGTGTGTGTGTGTGTGTGTGTGTGTTGTGTGTGTGCTTGGGTGTGTTGTGTGCGGTTAATGACGATTGATATTTGTACCCTTATCTAAGGTGATGTGGGTACTGAGGGTATTGACATTGAAAACACAAGTGTGTCTCAAACCTGGCTCGTAACACCATGACAAAAGGCTGGACACATTGTTCAGCAGTGTACAGAAAGTTATTTACTAAGCAAATTGACATTACTTAAATACGAAACTAATATGACGTGCGCAATCAGTAGGATCAGTGGGTGCACATGACTTTGAAGATAGGTCTGTTGTAAATGCCCCCCCCCCCCCATCTGACACATGACCAGTCACAATGCATAGGTAGGAGAATGAGAGACACAATGAAATATGGGTCACAGGTTTTCTCATGTGGCACTGCCAAGTGAGGCCCCACCCACCAAGGACCTGAAACACATGCTGAGGAACAGATTGAGAGTATAGGGCAGGGGTAATCACAAGTGGCTAAAATGGAGGTCCTGCAAAGTGTGGGTCACCCTCAGTGATAGTGAGAGGAGATCAGCCATGCAGTAGGGGCTCAAGGTAGAGCTAAAACTCCTACACAGCAAAGGGTAGTTTGGGATGAATCCTAGTCAAGGTGGCAAGGTGTTCCTCGGGAATGAGAGGAAACTCTGAGGCAGCCCAAGCACACACCGGAGAGATTATGTCTCTCAGCTGGTTTGATCGTTGGGATAAACATGTGGCAGGAATAAAATAAAATATGTTTGGAAACACCAGAGTGGTCCTCTGGAAGAGCTGAAGAATGTGGCTGAGAAGAGGAGACCTGGGCATCTGTGCTTAGACTGCTGTCCACACCTGGACTAATAATAATAATAAACATCTTAGTTCAGAATGGCTAGCAAAACATTTTGGGTGTTTTTGTGCTTTCCACAGGATACTGAACGTTGTGAAAATGGTAATGACTCCATCTGTTAATCATTTGCATGACAGCATTACCATGATAAGAACAGCCAAGTGTTTAGTTTAACATAGCAGTAATGTGACTATGTACCATTATAGAGCTGTCCCCGTAGCTTCAAAATTGCTTTAGGGTAATAAGCGGGATGTACAAACTAGGTCGGACTGAGTCAGGTTAACTGCTTCTTCTTGTTTTCCATCTCTGTGCTGAACTAGGTCAAACACATCCTGACTCCAGATGTCTCACACACACACACACCACACCCACACACACACACACACACACACATTCACACATACACACACACACACACACGACACACACACACAACACATCCTGACTCCAGATGTCACACACACACACACACACACACACACACAGGCCATTCACTCATTCATACCCACCCACTAACAAAGACACAGATGCACACATATCGATGCCCTCTCCATAGTGCAGGCGAGCATGTCACATATGTGACACGAGCACCTAACTGCTGGACAAAACCCTCAATGTCTGAGGTGCAGATAAAATTGAGGGGTAGAAAATATCATTTTCAAATATTCTGTGCTGCTGGTATGCTCAAATACTGTGTGAAGCTAGATACCACTAACAACTAGAGCTTATTTAATTTTTATTTATTTTTTTTATTTTAATCAGGTCAAAATTTCAAGAAAAATTTCAAGAAATTTTTTGAATGATGTATCAAGTGAAAGAGAGCTTTTTTCAATACGACACCCTGTGATGTCACAGCGATGCCATAACAGGCAGCATGTTGTAATAAAAACATCATAAGACATAGAAGTTTTAGTAAAGCCTTTGCCCTTTGGGGGGAGTTGCACTCTCTGAGTGCTCTTGCTGTCAACAGTATTCTCAAATATGCAAGAGCAGATAAGAAGCAATTGTGTCAACACTGTAAAAATTAGTAATTAGCTATGATAAAAGTCAGAAAAATGTAAAAGTGAGAAAATGACCCAAGGACAGTCATGATTCATTCACATACTGATGACTGATGAACATTGCTCAGCCCTGCTTGTACCCGCAGGCACCTGTTTACAGCTTACCGGAGGATGGCTGGTTTGGTACGAGTCTGGGAAGCCCTATTCCTCTCCTGTGCCTGAAGTGGGTCTTTGGAAACATCTTTACAGATGTTTCTAGCAGTGAAGGTCAGCCACAGCATGGTAGACAGAGAAGCATAGTGGAGCACAATGCCAACCTAACACAGGTTGAAATAGACATAAAAATTGAGTGAACTGGAGTAAGTTTAAGAGTGTAGTTGGGAATCATCATGGAACAAAAATGCACTCTATTAGGTGTTCAATATGCTGCACACTGAACAGTTCCAATGTCTAAGGACTGAATAAATTAAAAGCTCCAGAACCAGAATCACATTACTATGCATGCACTGAGCTTCAGTCATATTGTGATTATAATTCATTCATGATTCACTTTGGTGATAAAACAGCAAAACGGTGCAGAAGCAGAACCTTTGAAGGTTCATGAAAACATATGATCTAAAAATAACTTTGTTTATGTGTGTGTGCCGTTAAATGGGAGGCATTGTTATATCAGCTACAATCTTTTAAATTATGCTACTTAATCATATTGAATGTAAAAAATATTCAGTACCAGAGGTGGAACTATAAAGCCGCCCTTTTATTGTATCTTTCAACCATAAAAGTTTTGGAGAGATGATCGTAACACTTGGCAAACTACAGCCAATGTGTCTATTTTTCCATAAAACCATCCCTGAGGTTTATAGAACAGGTGTGCCTTCCTATCAGCTCCAAGTACAGTAACGCAAAAACCATTACAATTATTTTCATTACATCCACGTTATACAGAAGAGCATCTCTGAACACAGGAGATTTACATTACGGTTGTGTAGCCAAGAAGTCTGCAGCAACTGTGTATTGCTGACATGTCTATGGAGACCAATATTTCTGAGGAATAATTACAGTACTTTGTGAAATCATGAAGAATTAAGGAAGTTCCCAGGGTAAAATGGGGATCCAAGCCAGTGCTAGCAATGTGTACCTAATAAAGTGAAGTGTTTACATTTAACCTGACTTTAACCGACTAGAGGGCTTTTCATGTTATACTCAGTCACACAATTTGGAAGCCAGTCTAATATAAAATAACCAATATCTTCAGATTCAAAATAAAAATAAAAGGTAACATTCTTTTAAGAGTTAAGTGCCCTTAACAGAACTTTGAAACATCACCACAGTAAGAAACCAAGAACACAACACTTACAATCTGACACACAAAAGGTAAGTTGATTTGATTGATTCCACCAGCAAAAATACCAAATGTCAGTCCTGTGTGAAAGAGGAAGTTGAGGAGTGTGTGCCAGCCATTCCTGCTGATTCGGATCACACTGTAAACAAGGAGAAAAGTTAAACATCAGAAAGATAGTGTCTTAGCTTAAATTAGGTAGAAGGTTGTGGGAATGAACACAGGAGTCACACTGTCACCTTTGGACTATAATTTAGAAGTATTAAAGTATTAAATCCACATATAAAAGAATATGTTAACTAAGGCTTCAGTCTCACAGGTCTGAAGACCGGTCAGTGAGCACCACGTAACATCTGGTCAATAGGGAAAAATATATTGTCTTCTTTGCTGACTGTCATTAGGAGAAATCAATCACAAAACATTGTACTAAACAGCACCTTTTCATTGCTTTGGCTGCTTGCAGACTGCATCAAAGACCATTTGATATCTCAAGTTCTCAGTTTTATTAGTAAATCTGGTCCTTCAACATTCTGTACCAGCACAAAACCCTGTTTAGGTATTAAGAGACTGTACTGTTGGGATTTATTGTGTTAAAGATGAACTGAATGGTGTCAGTTAGAGGGTTTTTTATGTATTTATTTTTTGACCTGGGACAAAATTTGGGGAGGAAAAAATAACATGTGCATAATATTATAAGTAAACACATGCAATAGTAAGAAACAACATAAAAAGTTTTTTGATTTTTTGATATTGGTAACTGACCTGGGACATGACATTTTAAGTAATTTAGCGCTTTAGTGCTAAAAAAAAAAAAGAAAAGAAAAAAGAAAAATCAGTAATTATTGTAATGAATAAATTTTTTTGACACATATAATTGCTTTCTATGGTTGAAAAATGTTAATTGTGTAACACAAGTTTTTAGAATTAGGTAATGGCACATGTTTATATAAAATAAAGTCATTTCTGTCATGAGGACAGAACCAAATGCACCAAATACTAGTTTTATAAACCAAACATGTTTGTAATAAATTTCTCCTTTGTAACAGGATGGGCTGTGCAGTTCATTCATAAAATAACTCAATATCTCTAAAAGCCCGTATCAATTTCTAATGGAAAAATCCAGCCTTGTGTCAGAGCAGATGGATTGTCCTTCAGCTTCAGCTCCTTGATCTTAATTGATATGCTGTTTTTGCAGAGCAACACAAAAGTTTTGGGAGGTTTAAATTGAAGTGGACTGGCCGACGATCACCACTCAGTTCTACTTTGTACTTGAAACCTGTCTGCTTCTGCACATTCATTCTGGATGAAGGTGGGTGTTTTTAACAGACACAAGATGAGGATAAAGAAACATTATGAGATATACAGACACCTTTATGATATAAAGTCACAACATACATATAGGCATGTGAATATTTTGTGCAATGAAAAGTGTGAAATTATCTTGTAATAAGGTCTCACCTGTGGTGGACAATGTAAGTCATGATGGAGACAAGCAGACAGAGCAGCATAACTGCGGTGCAGGCATACACCACTGGATGTAGGTAATCCCCGGGGTATGGGGGGAAGGATAGCACTCTCTTTAGATCCTGAAAAAGAAGTGCACAATCTATGTTTTGTCAAAGATGGCAAAAAAGTTAAATTGCTTCTGTTTTGCACATACTAAGTGAGAGTGACGTTACATAAAAAGTATCCTTTGAATAGGAAGGTGCTGAATGTTTTATTCAGTATCACCCTATCAGCATATTAAAGGACCTTGAAGAAAAAGGATCTTCTACAACAGTCTTTCTCAAACGGTGGTGTCATGGTCCTGGGTCGTGTGACCCAGTGTTGAGTTTTATGTATCTTTTGTATTCATTTATGCTTTAGCTTAGTTTGTCTAGTTAATTTCTAGGGTGCTGTTTAGCCCTTTGTTTCTTAGTTGTTTATGTCATCTCCCCCTGTACTAAGTCTCCCTGGTTCATGCGTCATGTCTGCGTGGTTATGTTTAGTTCATGTCATGTCTAATCTCCATGTTTCCTGTTTTACTTTGAAAGTCTGTATTCAATGTCAGTGTATTCAGTTTCACCTCTCCTGTCCTGTCGTTAGGTTCATGTGTGTCAGCTGTGCTCCCATGTGTGGCCACTTCCCCTGATGTGATCCTGATCATCCCTCATGTGTATTTAGTCTCTGTGTTTCATGCAGTCTGTGTCGCGTCATCTGTGTTTCCCACCCTCCATGTTTTCATGCCCAGTCTTTCGTATTCTTAGCCATAGCTTTCTGAGTCTTCATAGTTTATCAGTATCCGTTCCCCAGTTTAGTTTAGTTCAGTTTTGTCATGGTATTTCTGCTTTGTTTGAGACCTGTCTTCAGCAACAATAAAGGCTCGCTTTCAGTTTAAGTTACTTTGGTCAACTCTCTTGTGTTCGCACCTGGGTTCACCACACGCACCACTGCACGGTCTGTCTCCTCAGATCGTGACAGTACGACACGACCAGTATGGACCCAGCGACACAGAGAAGAGAGATTATTCAGACAGTGGAAGCGCTATGCTGTAAGTGGATGCAGCGTTCCGGGGAGGAGGATACGGAGGAGTTACTCCACCCATTGCGGGTGAGCGTCACTGTGTTTCCCTGGTTATGGGAGGCGTTACCCCCCCTGATTTCTGATGACCTCCGCACCATCCTCCAAACCCCGTCCTCAGCAGCAGCCGCTGTGTCACCACCGTCCCGCTGTCACGCAACTTCCCCATCGCCGTTTCCACAGTCTTGGGGCTCCGAGGCGATTAGGGTTGGCTCACTGAGCTGCCTCCATCAATTCCATCATGCACAAGCTGCTCACCCTCACCATTCCGTTCGGACTTCGCTTCCCCAGCCTCATTTCTGGTGAGGATGTGGTCGGAGGATGAGGAGCCAGCCGTCACAGCTATCAATGTCGCATTAACAGCCGCTGTTAGGAAAAAGCGGTGCCCTCGTCGCCGACGCACGTCGGCACAGCCAGAGTCCGGAGTATCGTCAGAGCAGTTGCCTGGGCTGGAACCGCTGGCTGAAGCTGTCTCTGAGTCCGTGTCTGCAGTGTTTTGTGGCTCTGAGGAAATGTCCCCAGAGATCACTGTTCGGGACTTCGCTGAACGGGAGCAGGTGGTTCTCGCGGAGCTGGAGGAGAAGCTCTGACATGCTCATAGTCGGGGGCTGACCCGTACAACGACCTTGAGTGTTTTGCAAGGCGCTTTTAAATAAAATGTATTATTATTGTATTCTAATGCACTATGTGGCCATGTGACTAGAAAAGCGCTATATAAACGGTAGATAATTTCCTTCGGGATTAAAGTATTCTGATAACAGATAATATAAATGGTAGATGTAGGTCACAAGTTGCCTTAACCTGCAACCTGTGCAAGCTAAAATCTGATTCTGCTCTTCCCCCCTCCTCCCTCACCCTCTGTTTAGCCGAACTAAATTCATGGTTCTCTTCTAATTTTCTCAAACTCAATAGTAATAAATCCGAGCTTCTCTTGTACTAAATCAACATTATCCAGAACCAACAGTTTCTCTGTTACTATCAATAACTTACTATCTTCGTTTCTTCCTCTGTGAAAAGCTTGGGTGCTATCCTTGACAGTACTCTATCTTTCAATTCACACATTAATAATGTTACTGGGTCTGCATATTTTCAATTGCACAACATTAATCGTCTCCGTCCTTTTCTCACCCCACATGCCGCTGCCATTCTTGTCCATAGCCTTGTTACTTCCTGGATTGATTATTGTAATTCGCTTCTTTTTGGTCTTACTCAAAAATCCATCCACAAGCTCCAACGCGTCCAGGACTCTGCTGCCCGCATTATCACCAGGACCCCTTCTGTCCACCACATCACCTGCAGCAGCTTCATTGGCTCCCAGTCAAATACTGTATCAATTTCAAAATATTCTTGTACACATTTAAGGCTATTCATCATCTCTCTCCTCCATATCTCTCTGATCTGGTTCAGATCACCACCCCATCTCGATGTCTTAGATCAGGAGTCCCCAATCCCAGTCCACAAGGGCCTGCAGGTTTTAGATCTCACCCTGGGTCAACACACCTGAATCACATGATTAGTTCATTACCAGGTCTCTGGAGAACTTCAGGACATGTTGAGGAGGTCATTTATCCATCTGAATCAGCTGTGATGGATCAAGGACACATCTAAAAACAGCAACTACAACTAAACAAAGTAATTGAAATCAGGGCCCTATTCCAGGGCCAATCACTTTGAAAATAAACTCTGGGTTTACTAACTCTGAGATCTGCAACGAGTTTCCTGTTCCTGATGAGCTTATCAGAGTAAGTTCAAAAAAATATAACAAGGAGCAAAGGTTCAAAAAACTGTTCCAGGGGACTACTTGGCCACAGGGAGAGACTCTGAGGTTCTGAAGCCAGCAGCATGGTGGAGCTCAGGGGGCTGCCCGCGTGGACAGCAGTGGAGATGGTGGAAGTCAGGGGGCTGGCTGCGTGACCACCGTTTGCAGCTTGGCTGAAGGCTGGTGGCGGAGGAATCCTGGTGCGGACGAAGCAGGACCAGACGGCATAGAGACCTTTGGCTGGAACAAACCAGACTCTGGCTCGGGCTCAGGCAGAACAGAGACCTCTTTTTTTTTTTTTTTAATTCCCACTAAACTCATCAAGGTCTGATGTTCTTTCAGATTGATTTTTAAGGTGGATGTTGTCAACCATTTAAAAAATGACATTTCTGGTTCCCACTACTTGGTATTAACTAATGCTGACAATTGGCATATCAATTTGTCCAGCACTCTCATCAGGACTGTGAAGTTTGGGAGAGATTGGACAAGGTGTCTTTGACTTACAGTGGCTTGCAAAAGTATTCAACCCCCTTGAACTTTCCCACATTTTGTCACATTACAGCCACAAACATGAATTAATTTTATTGGAATTCCACGTGAAAGACCAACACAAAGTGGTGCACACGTGAGAAGTGGAACAAAATCATACATGACTCCAAACATTTTTTACAAATAAATAACTGCAAAGTGGGGTGTGCGTAGTGATTCAGCCCCCTTTGGTCTGAGTGCAGTCAGTCGCTCATAGACATTGCCTGATGAGTGCTAATGACTAAACAGAGTGCATCTGTGTGTAATGTAATGTCAGTACAAATACAGCTGCTCTGTGACGGCCTCAGAGGTTGTCTAAGAGAATATTGGGAGCAACAACACCATGAAGTCCAAAGAACACACCAGACAGGTCAGGGATAAAGTTATTGAGAAATTTAAAGCAGGCTTAGGCTACAAAAAGGTTTCCCAAGCCTTGAACATCCCACGGAGCATTGTTCAAGCCATCATTCAGAAATGGAAGGAGTATGGCACAACTGTAAACCTAACAAGACAAGGCCGTCCACCTAAACTCACAGGCCGAACAAGGAGAGCGCTGATCAGAAATGCAGCCAAGAGGCCCATGGTGGCTCTGGACGAGCTGCAGAGATCTACAGCTCAGGTGGGGAATCTGTCCATAGGACAACTATCAGTCGTGCACTGCACAAAGTTGGCCTTTATGGACGAGTGGCAAGAAGAAAGCCATTGTTAACAGAATACCATGGAGCCAAATACAGGGCAATCTTGGAAGAAAGACTGCAAAAGTCTGCAAAAGACTTGAGACTGGGGCAGAGGTTCACCTTCCAGCAGGACAACAACCCTAAACATAAAGCCAGGGCAACAATGGAACGGTTTAAAACAAAACATATCCATGTGTTAGAACGGCCCAGTCAAAGTCCAGATCTAAATCCAATCGAGAATCTGCGGCAAGATCTGAAAACTGCTGTTCACAAACGCTGTCCATCTAATCTGACTGAGCTGGAGCTGTTTTGCAAAGAAGAATGGGCAAAGATTTCAGTCTGTAGATGTGCAAAGCTGGTAGAGACAGACCCTAAATGACTGGCAGCTGTAACTGCAGTAAAAGGTGGTTCTACAAAGTATTGACTCAGGGGGCTGAATAATTTCGCACACCCCACTGTTCAGTTATTTATTTGTAATAAATGTTTGGAATCATGTTTGATTTTCGTTCCACTTCTCGTTGGTCTTTCACCTGGAATTCCAGTAAAATTGATTCATGTTTGTGGCTGTAATGTGACAAAATGTGGAAAAGTTCAAGGGGCCGAATACTTTTGCAAGCCACTGTGTAGAAATTTCCTGCTTCATGGTGAAAAATCTAAATTCACCATGTTGCCAGGTTCACACCGTTTGGTGAAAACTCACAGTTTTGAAGATAAAGTAAGAACAACTCCTTCAGGATTCAGAAATTTAAGGTTGCTCGGATCAGCCACCTTGAAATTATACCTCAAAGTGTAAAATATGTAATTCCCTTTTCCTGCTAGGTCACACTGTGTGTAAATATTCCAACCGAAATGTGTTCAGGGGCGGAACATTATCACAATTGAGAAAATCCGTAGGAGGAGTTTGCAAAAGTATAACATCTGGTAAATGGTCAAATCTGCACCAAAATGTCTTTTTCAATTCAAAACATCTGCCTTCCTCACTGATTTATGGCATCATTCAAAGATCTGTGCATCTTGGGAAGTTATAGGCGTGTGCCAAACTTTATACATGTATGCGAAACAC